CCTGAGGGGTGAATCCAGCCCCCCGGGGGGGCAGAGGCCGCCTGGGCATGCAGGCGATGGGGCTTTGCTGCACAGCAGCCTGCGGAGAGGGTGGGGCCAGGAACCCCCCTGTGAAGTTTCTCTGCCGCCCCCTCGCCCCATCCCCAGGCAGGGCTCTATTGGTAGCAGTGTGCAGCCACGAGGCTGAAATGGCTCCAGTCAGCCGTGGGGAGCAGATGCCCCAGCACCAGGCTCAGCGACCCTGGCTAAGCACCGGCCACAAGGGCACCCGTGGAGCGTGAGTGGGTCCCCGGTCACCCTTGGAGCTGCGGGGGCTCAGCACCATGCCGGATCAGGCCTGAGAAAGAAGCTGACCCCTTGACACAGGCGCCAGGGCACAGAATTAAAGCCTTTACCCTGCACGTGGCTATGTCTGGGGTGAACACCACCAGGGGGCCAGGCAGTGCCCCCCCAGAGCAGCACCACGGGTTTAAAGCGGTGGCACCTTCCCCGAGGAGCTCCCTGTGCGGGAGCAGCTTGACACACAACTGACTTTAGGTTCCCCTCCTGCCCGGAGCCCCGAAGTCCAGCCTTCACTTTGCCCAGGAACCAGGCTGGCTTGTCTGGGCCCTAGGCAAGTCCCCACATCTCCACACTCTAGGAGGTCTGGACTAGGAGCTGTACCGTGCAGCTCAGCCCTTCTCTGGCACTGGGTCGTAACTGTCAGAGCCAGAACGAAGCACGGCAATCAGCATGGGAGAGGAATGGGTCGTTCGTCCCCCCCCCCCCCCCCGCCTTCTATTCTTATCTCTTGACTGACCGCAGTGCCTTGTACCAGGGTTCCTGTTGTGAAATCCAGGGTGCCAGCTGATGAAAGGAGATCACGCCGTTCTTTGTTAATGTCTGACTGTGCAGCAGTGAGCTGAAGCCTCCGGTGGGCTGAATTTTGGAACTTGGTCATTATGCATGAACTTGGATTCAGGTCTGGATTAGGGTTAGGTTAGTCTTAGGGCTTGAGGCCAAACTAGGACCAAAGTATGGAAATCTCTCCACATGTTGTTCCCATGAGACTTCTGCCTTTTTGGGCCAAAATCTTGCACAAATAGTTTTTGCAAGATTTCCGATGCATCCACTTCTGGAGGAGACAGCTCCTGCCAGTTTTGGATCCAACTCCTTTCATCAAACCCCACTGCCCTGAAATTTGGGGCCCCTCTCTAATATATATGGCAGGAAGGAACAGTAGCCCCTGCTTGTCTGCAGGACAATTGCCTCTCACATACATGCAGCCTCCCTTCATTTCTCTCCTGATTAGAAGTAGATTTGCAGTATAATATTGATATGACAGGTAGCAGAATTGATCTGACACCAAGTGCTCATAAAAACGTGCATAAGCAGGAATCCACATGTATGGTAGCAGCCTGTGAAGTCTCAGTGTGCGTTAGCTTGGAAACAACTGAGACATAGTTTCACATGGTCTTCCCTCTTCTCTTTGAACGCACCGCAATAAACCACTCTGCTGCTTCTGTTCATGGTTCTTCCAGGCAGATCCACACTTGCTGTAACAAAACAGACCCAACCCTCCCACTCTGACGGGGTTTATCACATTGTACTACAAGGCATATTAAACACAGATGAGCCTGTTTTCATCAGCAAGACCACTGCTATTACGCACAAGTTGAGGAAAGGGCAGGGAAGGCTATGTTGCCTCACTGTGGTACCTATTCCAGGTTGAGGTGTCATTAGAGGAGGTTTTGGAACAAACTGATAGATTAAACAGTAAGAAGTTACCAGGACCAGATGGCGTTCACCTGTGTTCTGAAGGAACTCCGATCTGAAACTGCAGAACCACTAACTGTGCTATGTAACCTGTCACTTAAATCAGCCTCTGGGCCAGGCGACTGGAGAGCAGCCAATGTAACACTGATTTTTTATAAAGGCTCCAGAGATGATCCTGGTAATTGCAGGCTGGTTAGCCTGACTTCAGTACCAGGCAAATTGGTTAAAACTACATTAAAGAACAGAATTGTCAGGCACAAAGACGATCACAATATTTTTGAAAGAGTCAACACGGCTTTCGTAAAGGGAAATCATGCCTTACAATTCCATTACAATTCTTTGAGGGCATCAACGAATGTGGACAAGGGTGATCCAATGTATATAGTTTATTTGAACATTCAGAAAGCCTTTGACAAGGTCATTCACCAAAGGCTCTTAAGTAAGTAGTCTTGCGATAAGAGGGAAGATCCTCTAGTAGATCAGTTATTGGTTAAAAGACAGGAAACAAAGGGTAGGAATCAATGGTCAGCTTTCAGAATGGAGAGAGGTAAATAGCAGGGTCCCCCCAAGGATCTGAACTGGGAGCAGTGTTGTTCAACATATTAATAAATGATCTAGAAAAAAGAGTAAACAGTGAGGTGGCAACATTTGCAGATAATACAAAATTACTCATGAGAGTTAAGTCCAAAGCTGACTGTGAAGAGTTACAAAGAGATCCCACTAAACTGGGTGACTGGGCAACAAAATGGCAGATGAAATTCAATGCTGATAGATGCAAAGTAACGCACATTAGAAAACATCATCCCAACGATACATAAAAAATGATGGGGTCTAAATTAGCTGTTACCACTCAAAAATCTCTGCTCAACGTGGATAGTGCTCCAAAAATCTCTGCTCAACGTGCAGCAGCAGTCAAAGAAGCAAGCTGAACATTAGGAACCATTTGGAAAGAAAGAGATTAGACAGAAAATATCAATGCTACTATATCCATCCATGGTACACCCACACCTTGAATACTATGTGCAGTTCTGGCTGTCCCATCTCCAAAAAGAGAGATTAGAATTGGAAAAGGTACAGAGAAGAGCAACAAAAGGGATCAGCGGTCTGGACCAGCTGCCATACAAGGAGAGATTACAAAGACTGGGACTGTTCATCTTAGAAAAGGGATGAGTACGAAGGGCTATGATAGAGGTCTATAAACTTGTGACTGGTGTGAAGAAAGGGTTATTTACCCCTTCCCATAACACACGAACCAGGAGTCACCCAATGAAATGAACAGGCAGCAGGTTTACAACAAACCAAAGGAAGTATTTCTTCACACAACTCCAAGTCAGCCTACGGAACTCATTGTCAGGGGATGTTGTGAAGGCCAAAAGTATAACTGGGTTCAAAAAAGAACTAGATAAGTTCATGGAGGATAGGTCCATCAATGACTCTTAGCCAGGATGGTCAGGGATGCAGCCCCATGTCTGGGTGTCCCTAAACCTCTGATTGCCAGAAGCTGGGACTGAGTGACAAATGGCCTTGTTCTGTTCATTCCCTCTGAGGCACCTGGCACTGGCCACTGTCGGAAGACAGGATCCTCGCTAGATGGACCTTTGGTCCCATTATTGTGTTCTTAGACATTGCAGTAGGGTGCAAATGCAGATCACTAGAAAATAAAACTGACTAGAAACAAAGGAAAGTGACTTGTTTATTTTCCATTGTCCAAGCAGAGTAATGTCCAATAAGTGAACACGCTCTGGAAGTGATGAACACCGTCAGGTTTTACAAATTTTTCATCTTTAGCAATCTAAGGTGCCATTTGCAAGCCCAGTGAGGACACGGATTTTCTAACCATGCAGTTTAGTCCTTCCCAAACACACACAATTTGAAGGCCAGGCTGGGCCATATGATAATCTAGTCTGATCTCCTGCCAGGGGAACAATTGTATAGTGGGCGTGCGGAGAGCCATTGAACCAAACTGTTAACCCTGTCTGTGATGGAAACAACACATTGGTTGCTATTATTTCTGCAAGCCATGGGTTGCTGGTTGCTGCCGCATCCCCATCACCCTACTTCCAGCATGTCTGCATCACACAGGTCAAGAACCTCACCCAGCCATTCCTGCTTCAAGCCCATAACTTCTGTTTGAGCTGGAGCCTCTCTTTTAAAACCACCAAAATAATACATGTAACTGAGGGTACAGAATTATCCTGCAAACTGCTGAAACCAAATAAAGCGAGGGTTGTGAGTTCAATCCTTGAGGGGGCCATTTAGGGATCTGGGCCAAAAATTGGGGATTGGTCCTGCTTTGAGCCGGTGGTTGGACTAGATGACTTCCTGAGGTCCCTTCCAACCCTGATAGTCTATGATTCTATGCACAAATTGAAAAATCCTTACGATTACATTAGTCTGTTTCTCTACAGCAGTATTAGTAGTTAAGCATGATGGCCAAACTCTATACCCAATCGCTATAACTAGTTTGCTTGCCACGGTGTATCGCACTTCAAAAAGCTAGAAAACTGGCTAAAGCTGGGGCTATTACTGTAGGTAAATACTATAAAATACACAGTACATAAAGTACATTTTCAATGTACAATGCTGTGCAGCTGAGATACAAACACAGTCTTCTGTTTACAGTGCTCGCTACGCAAGATCTGCAACACAATACTTTGAATGACATCTGTAATGTCCGAAATGTAAGGCCTGTGCCCAGTAATGCAACTAACCCTCTATGTTACATTAGTACTGAGCTCCTAAATCTGCATTCCTAACCCTACGTAAAATTCTCACCAGTACAACGGATTGAGCAGGGCTATTGCTACAGTGTGCAAGCCGCCTGACTTCATATAGCACGTACAAAGTGGTCACAACAGTTAAAACTTGGACTATTACAGCCAAAACAGAGATACAAAAATGTTTGACTATATGGAACTTTAAATTTAAAAAATGGCCGAGCACTTAGATGGTCTTGTGATCCACTGACCGGTGTGGCAGTGGTTGAGACAATTTCTCTTACTCCGTTGATTTCTCTCATTATGCCGGTGGGAGTTTGGGTTGGAGTTTCTGTGGGGTGAAATTCAGATGGCCCGACGTCTTCAGTGGTGGAATCAGTAAAATATGGAGCAGCAGACAGAGGTAGCGAGGGGGTGTTCGTATGTGTCACGGACACAGAAGCTGTGGGGGTCTTCCAAGTAAAAGGCAAGTATTCAGTGACAAGAAAAGATGAAGTGTGGGAACCCGTGGAGCTCTCAAGTGTGTGGTGTGGAAGGGCTGTGGTAGAGGGGCAGTGAAAATGATCATCTGGTAGAGACAAGAGAGAAATATTCCTTAATGCTACGGGACTGTCACAAGTTAGGAACGTGACATTTTTTACTTTGTCTTTGTTTTTTACTGTCTAAATTCCTCTGGAGACACCCTTTGAATTCAGCAATTTGACAATCATATTTCCAAGGATTGTTGTCAAGCACGACCTCTTGCAGCTTGGGTAAAGAGGTAAAGAAGTCTCCAGGAAGAGACTGCAGGCTAGTACAATTTAGGTAAATTGCCTGGAGATTATTGAGATTATAAAAAGAGGTTTTTAGGAAGAACCTCAATCCTGTTATGGAAAAGGGAAATCTCCTGAAGTTTCTGCAGACCCTGGAAGATGCCCTCCGGGAGACTAGAGAGATTATTTGTATGCAAAGACAAAGTAAGAAGTTCATTTAGACCACTGAACACGTTCCTTGGGAGAACACTTAACTCAGGATTGAAAGTCAGCACAAGTAGCTCTAAATTTGTCAAATTACCAAACACAAAATCTGGCACCATTGAGAGTTTGGTGTCATATACCCACAGACTCCGGAGAATCCTCATTTCTCCAAACAATATTTCTGGAAGGGATCCCAGTGGATTCCCATACAAGGTCAATTTAGTCAAATTGTGCAAATGCAGAAAGAGCCCATGAGGTAACAACTGCAACTTATTTTGAGAGAGAGTTAAACTTTTTAGTTTAAGGAGATTGTGAAACGTGCCTGGGGCAATGGACTGAATGCCATTTGAATGCAGAAGAAGCTCCTGCAGCTCTCTCAGGTTATCAAACACACCAGAGTCTATTGAACTGAGCCTGTTCATATACAGAGCGAGCTTCTCAAGTCTGGTTAATGTGCTAAATATATTTCTAGGCAAGGCTGCCAAATAGTTTCTGGATAAGTTCAGTAGTTTAAGCTTGGCGAGGTTTCTTAGCACTCCTTCAGGAAGCTCTGTCAGATGGTTTTTGTTCAAAAACAGCTCCTGCAAGTTGACTAGTTTGTCAAACAGGCTCCACTCAATATCTTTCAGCAAATTATTTTCAAGGATCAACTGCTGAAGGTCCATCATTTCACCGAACACTCCTGTGGGAAGCTGAGTTAACTTGTTGTCAAACAGTTTGAGGGTCTTCAGCTTTACTAAGCCTTTAAAAGCTCCAGGCAAAATTAGGAAAAGCTGGTTTGAAGACAGAATGAGACGCTGTAGCACTGTCATTCCAGAAAAGACTTTGTCCTTCAAATCTGTTGCCTTAGTATTTGTTATTAGAATGTGTGTCATGTTGGTAGGCAGACCTAACGATGCCAGGTCTTCGATACCGGGACCAGAGCAACGGATGGCATCTTTCAGAATACACTCGCATTTCTCAGGGCAAACGGATGCATTCAGCTGAAGGAAAAGATGGATGATTACAGCTAAACGAAAAACCAACATCCTTGCTGAAGTGCCTGGAATATGAGCAGTTATAAATTAGCACCAGAGAATTCAGTTTCCATTTTACATATTTGTAATAATTTTGTACTAATCATAACATTTACTGTGTGAATGACTAGCAAAAACCTAAACATGTACTAAACTTCAGTTTGGATTATGATGAAAACTCCCCAAACTCTTTTATTTGATTACAGGCATTTTGATGGTGCTCACCAGGGTTGCCACCTTTCTAATTGCTGGTAACCGGACCCCCAGTGGCCCCGCCCCTTCCAAGTCCCCAACCCTTCCAAGACCCTGCCCCATACTCCACCCCTTCCCCCTGGCCCAACCCCTTCTCTGCTTCTTCCCCCAGACCTTGCCCTTTCTCCGCCTCTCCCCCAAGGCCCCATCCCTGTCGCTCATTCCTCCTCACCCCCAATCACTTGCTAGATCGTCTCCATCTCCCGCCTCTGTCCCTCTCCCCCAGCTGGGCTCCCTCTGCTCTGGGGCTGGGACGGGAGCTGCTGCATCCTGACAAGGAGCCTGCCTGCAGGTAGGTTGCGGCCCCGGCTGGGCAGGGGCTGGCACAGGTTAATGACCCAGCGCCTCTCCTCGCCCCATGGTAACAGGACTTTGGGGGCCCAGTCAGTACATCTAACTGGACACTACTAGGTCCCCTTTTCGACCAGACTTTCCTGTCAAAAACCAGGCACCTGGCAACTGTAAATGGTACCTGGTTACAGAAGCCAAAAAGCAGACTGTCTGGGTAAAGGCCGGATGGATGGCAATCCTGGTGCTCCTCTCTAAGTTCAGAGGACTAAAGATTTATCATCTTTAATTTTTCATATTTGTATTAGTCAACCACAATAAAAGCATATATCATCAATATTTTGTGATCACTATTAATATTTTAAAGCTCTTTGAAGCATGCTCTTCTTTGAAGATTACAACTTTTATCATCATCACACAAAACAAGCACTCTTACAGATATGGCCAAACAGCTCAGCGTAAGCCATCCTCCACATCTATACAGCTATATGAAATTTCTCTTCCAGTTGTAGGTCATCTAACATTTGGAAATTAGCTGTGCAATGTATGTATTAGCAGAAGCACAATAGGGTTTTAGATTCTGTCATACCTGGGTAGGAGTTTAACTGTTGAGAGAGATCAAAGAGGCAACAAAATCTAACACAGTGATGATAATGGAGGACTTCAACACCTCACCCATAAACTGATCAAATGGTACAACAGCACAAAGTAGAGAGAAGCAATTTCTCAACACTTCAAATGATTGTTTCTTGGAACAGCTAATTCCTGAGCACACAAGAAAGGATATTCTTGACTTAGCCTTAAGTAATATATAGGAGCTAATTCAAGAAGTAACAGGAGCTGAGCCAGTAAGTAATAGTGACCATAATATAATTAGACTCAACATCCAAGGGGGAGGTAAGGTACCAGTGGTACTAAACTTTACAAAACGAGATTTCAGTACAATGTGGTTCGTCAAAAAGGCCCTAATGCTACAAGTAAAGGAAGTAAAATCCTTAGAAGTGGCATGGAATATACTTAACCACCCCCTCCACCCCCAATAATAACAGAATCTTAGAAGAACACACATCGCTGACATAGAGAATTAGGATGGTAACTAATGAACCATTATGGTTAAATGGCAAGGTTTGAGAGTCTAATCAAGCCAGAAATAAATCCTTCAAAATTTGGAAATCTGACTCTTGTGAAGCCAATAAATAGGAGCATAAGTACAGCAGGCATTAAGTAAAAGGGAAATTAGGAGGGCCAAAATAAATTTAGAAGAGCAAATAGCTACAAGTATAAAAACGAACAACAAAAGTCTTAAGTACATAAGAAGTAGGCCGCCTGCGGAAGGTGGGGTGGCTGGTTTAGCAAGGTTAAAAGGGGCCAATTAAGGAAGTTAAGGACATTTTGACGGAGCTGAATAATTTCCTGGCATCATGTTTCATCACAGAGGATGTTTGGGAGATTCCTATCCTGGTCCTGCTCTGAGCTACTCTCAGAGACGGAGATGACAGAAGAAAAGTTGCTGATGCAAACGGATAATTTAAAAAGCAATAAGTCATCAGGCCTGCAGGTCCATCCAAGAATTCTGAAGCAGCTGAGCTGCTAACAGGAACATCAGATCATTCATTAAAACAGTCACTGTTCCAGGGGACTGAAGGGAAGCAGATGTTGTATCTGCTTAAAAAGGCTCTAAGATTCAGGGAACTATGGACCCGTAAGCCTTACATCTGCCTCTGGAAAACTGCTTGAAATGATCAGTACAGACACTAACAAAACACCTGGATGTTCCTGATCTGACAGGGTGTAACCAGCTCGCCTTCTGCAAAAGAAAACTCTGTCACAAGTAGGATCCTAGAATTCTTTGATTGTGTCAATAAAGAAGCACATAAAGGAAAACCAGCTGACAATTTATTCAGAACCCACCCCCTCCCCGCAAGGGCCTAAGATCCCACACAAAAGCCTGCTAAAGAATCTCATCACTGGGTGAGAGGCAAAGCATCCTCATGGATCAAAAGCTGGCCATGACACAGAAAGCAGAGTAGGATTGGATCGAAGCCAAAAATGTCAGAAGATTCAAAACAGGCTTGGACATTTATATGGAAAACAAGAATATCCAGGGTTGTTATAATTAATTATGCTGAAAATTCTGTAAGGGACATTAAACCTCATGCTTCAGGACTTAAGCCATTCCCTGTTGAGAATCAGGACAAGACCAATTGAGGGGCAATTATCCCACTTCCACCTACTGCAGGATTCTTGCATCTTCTTCTGAAACACACGGTGATGGGTACCATCAGAAATAGGACAATGGGCTAGACGGATCTTGGGTCTGACCTAGTGCAGCAATTCCTGGGTTCCTAAGATTTCTCAGTGTGTTGTACAGGAATGCCAGGAATTCAGCACATGAACATGTCAGACTGACAAGTTTACACACCAGGACTTGAACCCACATTATTCGAAAATCAAATATACCAGATTCAATAAAACGTTATCTACCTTATTCTGAATTACTGTCCTGTGCACATTCTAAACCCAGCCCTCAGCCAAATGTTACATAAAATAAACTAAAATTAAACTAAAAATAGCTGCGTGAGTCTTACCTTAGAGGCGAAGGAGCCATTTTAGAGGCATCGAGTAAGCGTACAGGAGACAAGTGAGGACTCAGATGATTCTGCATTTTACATGGGAAGGCTGACAGCATAATGCATCCTCAAGATAACACCTCAACTTATAGTTATGCAAAAATGAGTGGTATTTTAAAGGCAAAAGCCAGAATTTATTTTAACTTCACTGCCAACAGTTAAATTCATATTTAGTCATGTAAGAGAAGTGGACTGATCTTCAGAGGCTCCCCATACCCACAGCTCCCATTTACACACAAACCCCCCAAAGGGCTTCTACAAGCAATATGCTTTGGGACAAAAGAGGAGGATACTTACCTTACAGTAACTGGAGATGTGTTGGCCATATCAGTATTCCACAGTGGTTATGCATGCGTGCCATGTGCCTGGAGTTGGCGAATTCTTGCCAGCAGTGTCCATTGGTCCTTGCCCGTGCCCTTGCCTTCCTTGCGCTTCCAACCAAAGGCTTAAAGGGCGGCGTAGTCTGCCTGCCTCTCTGGTTCTTTTTCTACCGCAAATCCAGTAAAGAGCCGAAGCAAAGCGTGGGGCAGACAGCAGAATAGATATGGACCACACATCCTGAAGAACCTCCAGTTACTATAAGGTAAGTAACCGCCTCTGAGTGCTGGTCCCTCTGTGCATTCCACTGTGGGTGACTGACAAACAGTACTCAAGTAGGGGGAGAGTGTGAAGATGCAGGCAGCAGAGCTGTTTGGAGAACCGCTGTCCCAAAGGAAGCATCAGTGGGCAGGTCTGCACTATAGCACCAGGCCTCACAAACGTATGGATGGAACTCCAAGGAGCTGATTTGCAAATGTCAAGTAAGGACTCTTCCTGAAGCAAGGCCACTGAAGTTGCTTGTGTTCTTGTAGAATGAGCTCTCACCCCATCAGGAGGAAGAAGCAACTAGTAACAACAGGATACAGCCTGAAATCCACTCAAGGATCCTCTGGGAGGATCTAGCTTGAACTCAGACTCATTCTGCTATAATGAGAAACAATGTAGGTCATTTTCTAATTTGTTTTGACCTTTCCAAATAGAAGGTAAAAGCATACATTGAGAGAATGAAGTTTCTGCTCTTCTTCAGATGCATTTTTCAGATGCATGCAGATTCAGAAAAAACAGATATGTGGACTGACTGGTTCATGTGACACTCCGAAACTTCTTTGGGGGAGGAACTTTGGATGTAGTTGTAAAGAGATTTGGCCTTATCAAATATAGTGTGTACCACATCCACCACTAGGACTCCCAGCTCACCCATCCTTCCAGCTGAGGTGATGGCCACAAGAAATGCAACTTTCATTGATAGCTACATGTTCCATGTCTAACCTAAAGGCTCAAAAGGAGTGAGTACCGGAAATACAAGGCTTACATCCCAATGAGGAGTAGGTTTTCTTACTGGCAGGAAAATTCTGATCAGGCCCTTTAAGAATCTGCTCCCCAATGGGTGAATGAAAATTGAATAATCACCTGACAGCGGATGGCATGAACTGACTGCTGCCAGGTGGACTCATATAGAACCAAGGGATAGCCCAGCTGTTGTGAGAGAAAGAAGATAGTCCAAAATAGGGGAATATCTGCTGACTCAGGAGATGTTTCTGCTGTGCCGAGACAGAAAAACGCTTCATTTGGCTGAATAGCATTTTCTAGTGGAGCCCTTTCTGCTATTATTAAGGGTTGTTTGTCCAGCTTCTGATCAGGAATGTTCCAATGTTGATGCCCATCCAAAATCCAAGCCATGAGATGAAGTACTTTGAGGTTGGGATGCTTGATCCTGCGTTTCTCCTGGATCAAGAGATCAGGGAAGGCCTGGATGATGAGTGGATGATGAGATGACTGTTGTAGGAGATTTGAGAGCCAATTGGGGGGAAATGGAG